TCAGAGGAAGCTGCTGATTGGATAATCAGAGGAAGATGCTGATTGGACGATCAGAGGAAGATGCTGATTGGACGATCAGTGGAAGCTGCTGAATCTGATAAAAACAACAAGCAGATGGCGCTGTTGTTTCAGATTAGACATTAGCGACACTGAAATGTTTCTGTTTCAGATTTTTGACAGTTTCCAGTCCAGCCTTCACAGCCACACCATCAAACATACTGGGAGCAACCTGCAGGTGGCGCTGCTGCTTTACTTTTGCTCCAGCGTCTCAGTGGAGATTAGAGCAGTGCTTCTCAATTCCAGTCCTCAGGCCCCCTGCTCTGCATGTTTTAGATGTGCCTCCAGAACAGTTGATTCAAATGATTTCATGACCTTCAAGTACTGCAGAGGCCTGTTAATCACCAAAATATTGAATCCAGGTGTGTGGCAGAAGGGAAACATCTAAAACATGCAGGGCGGGGGGGCCTGAGGACCGGAATTGAGAAACACTGGATTAGAGTGAAATGAGTTCATGACGTTCACTTTACAATTAGTACGTCTGTGGTCCAGTCAAAGTCTCATTGATGCTGCTTCCTGATTCTGATCTGATGCTGAAATTATGGGATGCATGAAGAAAAAGATATTATTTTGGACCGTCCATACTGATATATCTGATCTGGTTTCTGCTTGTTTTGTGATTTTCAGCATTTTAAGGTCAAAGTTTGAACATAGATATTGAAACAATGATAAACAGACTTTAACGTCTCACTGGACACACTAAATAATTAATCAAGTTCTTATCTTGCTTAAATTTATACCAAACATCAACATGAGGATGAAAGGGGATTTGTTTGTGTCATGCTGTTGGTAAAAGTCCGGCTACTTCGAGAGTGAAACTGCTCATGTACTGGGATTTGAACTCTGAACTCTCCCTCAGGTTTACCAAGAATGTTCTGAAAAGAGTTAATGTCCAGAGTCCTGTTGTAGTAATGTGTGCCTAATAAAGTGGCCGGTTAGTAGTGAACCAGGATGAAGTGGCTGCTGCTGTCCATGGTGTCCAACTGTCATTTTGATTGTTGGTTAATTAAATAACAAGCCAGCAACCAAACAAAACTGCTTAAATGTTGTTATATATTTTATTATGATGTCATATTATTATTCCTCATTTCGCAGCAGTTCGTCCCTCTTTGATAAACTGTCAGATAATAAACTTTAGACATTGTTACTGAAATATTCAGCTGAGAAACAAAAACACAACAAGCTGATGGAGCCATTTTTACTTCTGCTGGACGTCACACTGATAAAACACAAATGATTTAATTTACCGATTAAAAGATCAAGGACCCGTTATCCTGAGGCCTCAAGGCGACATTTGCTGCAATTCAAATGTTTAATCTCATAGAAAATAAAAATAAATGGAAAAAAAAAACTCAACAAAAAGCTACAGATCTGCATCATTTATTTTCAGCACATTATTTACATAAAGCAGATTATGACCCAATCCCCAGGGACAAAACTCTGAAATGATAGTTTGTCTTCTTGATAACCAGAAGATGTTCAGTGGAACTTGGTCACCAAACGACCATCAATCATGTATCAACATCGACACAGAGCCGTTTAAATCAAGTCCAGATCAAAGATATTAGAAACTCACAGGAAGAGCTTTTATTTAATATGAAATATCATAATATCTAAAACATTTGGGTTCATTTTCTATTAAACTGTTAAATATTTTACTCACTAACTATTAAAAAATGAAGAATTTCAATTAAGGAATAATTAAGATGTTCTATTAACTCAAGAAGACGTGTTTATTTGTATCCTTCCTCCTCTGTAACTTGAACTTTTTTAATGAAAGAGTCTTTAGTTCAACTAGATCATTGTCATGCAAATGTTAATAAAAACTATAACTGAGTTTTTTTAAACTTGTAGCTGTTCTGTCTCACCGTTTCCTCAGTTAAACCAGCAGGAGAAGTTCAGTAAAATCTGCAGCGGTTCTGGTTCCATATCAACGACTTGGTTCTGCTGACTCAGATCATTAAAGGAGTTACATAGTCAGCATTTTATGGTGTAATAAATTAAGTTTAGTGTAATAAGTAACTTATTTAAGCTTCCTTTGATAAACCATACAGTGGTGCAGTTGGTAGAGCTGATGCCTTGCAGCAAGAAGGTTCTGGGTTCGATTCCCAGCCTGGAGTCTTTCTGCATGGAGTCTCCATGTTCTCCCTGTGCATGCTGGGTTCTCTCCAGGTACTCCAGTTTCCTCCTACAGTCCAAACACATGACTGTCAGGTTAATTGGTCTCTCTAAATTGTCCCTAGGTGTGTGTGTGTGTGTGTGTGTATGGTTGTCTGTCTCTGTGTTGCTCTTTGACAGACTGGTGACCTGTCCAGGTGACCCCGCCTCTCGTTCCCTGGAGAGGCACCAGCACCTCCTGACCCCACTAAGGACAGGAGCGTATAGTAAATGTATGGATGATGAGCCATGCAGCTTTGACAAAAAAATGGAACAGAAATAGAAAACTGTTCAGATTTCAGAGAATCATTAATGGAATCAGATGTTTCCTCCTTCGTACATAAACATATTTTTGGTTCATTTGAATTAAACTTGTTTATCTTCCTGTCATGTTTTACTCTTTGTTGTTATGTTTGGAGATCATATTAATGTAGCTGATGGCAGAAATATTAATATCTAAAACCAAACTTTAACTGTGTCTCACTGACCTGTAACTTAACCAGGTTAAATGAATTTTAAGGAAGCGATTTGATGGAAACCCAGCAGAGAAGTTGGTGCAACCAGATGAGTTACCCACATCTACCCTCCAGGTCTATGGTAACTAAAAGTCTTTAACCTGTAGATCTACGTTTTGAAGGCTCAGAGAGGAGCAGCTTTCCTCTGGGTGTGGACCTGCATGTGTTTGATCAGGCTGCCGCTTTGATTGAATCTTTTTCCACAAGCCGAACAGGAAAAGGGTTTTTCCCCGGTGTGGGTCCTGACGTGGATCTGCAGAACGCCGTACTGGGTGAAGTTTTTCCCACATGTCCTGCACTGGAAGGGCCTCTCCCCGGTGTGTGTCCTCATGTGAACCACCAGGCTGCTGTTCCTGGAGAAGCTCTGGCCACAGGCGTCGCAGGAAAACGGTTTCTCACCCGTGTGAGTCCTGCTGTGCAGGCTCAGCTGGCTGCTGTTGATGAAACCTTTTCCACACGTCACACACAGATACGGCCGCTCTCCTGTGTGTGTCCTGCTGTGGACGTTCAAACTGCCCAGCTGGGTGAAGCTCTTCCCACACGTGGAGCAGGAGTACTTCTCCCCTGTGTGGGTTCTCTTATGAACGTTTAAATACGAAGGGTCACGGAAACTTTTCCCACAGGTTTCACACTTGTAGGGCCTCTCAGCTGTGTGCGTCTTCCTGTGAACCTTCAGACTGAAGCGCCTGCAGAATCCTTTCCCACAGGTCTCACAGAAGAAGGGCCACTCGCCGGCGTGCGTCCTCCTGTGGACGTCCAGCTGGAAGTCGTTACTGAAGCCCCGCCCACAGGTGTCACAGGAAAACGGCCAGTCGCCCGTGTGAAACCTCATGTGTACGTTCAGGCTGCGGATCCGAGTGAAGACCTTCCCACAGGTGTCGCAGCTGAAGGCGTTTTCCCCGGTGTGAGTCCTGCGGTGGACGTGGAAGTGGCTGCTGTAGCGGAAGCTCTTCCCACAGGTCTCGCAGGTGAAGGGTCTCTCCCCGGTGTGGATCCTCATGTGGACCTTCAGCCCGCTGGGCTGCGTGAAGCTCTTCCCACACGTGTTGCAGGCGTACGGCTTCACGCCTGAGTGGACTCCCTGGTGTTCCACCAGGCTGTGTTCGTATCTGAACACTTTCCCACAGACGTCACATTTCACAGGTGGTTCTGGGTCAGAGTGGACCCGGCTGTCTGACACAGGACCGCAGCTTCCTGCCTCACTCCAGCCCTGAGCTTCAGAACCGGACTGGCTGTACAGATGAGCCAGGCCTGGTTCTGATTCCCTGGAGCCGGGTCTCTGATCCGACCAGGAGTCCATGAAGCCATCAGCTGAGTGGGTCACCAACAGCTGCTGGATCTGCTGACTGCTGTGGATCAGGAAGGACAGCAGCTGAGGCTCCTCATGGTCGACTGCAAACTGGGACCGTTCTGAATGTCCACCAGGTTCTGCTGCAGGTTCTGCTGCAGGTTCTGCTGCAGGTTCTGCTGCAGGTTCTGCTGCAGGTTCTGGTTCCTCCTGCTCCTTCTCGACACATGAAAGCTCTAGTTCACCCTGTTCCTCCTTAATGTGTGAAGGTTCTGATTGTCCCGTTTCCTGTTTAATCACCAAATGTTCCGGTTCCCCTCGATCTGATCCGAATCCTGCAGGTTCTGGTTCCTCCTTAACGTGTGAAAGTTGCAGTTCCTCCTGTTCCTCTTTGATCAGTAAATGTTCTGGTTCCCTCTGATCTGCCAGTTGTTGCTCATCTTGTTCTTCTGCAGCATCAGGAAGTTCTGGTTCCACCGGTTCCTCTTTAATACCTGGATGTCTGAGTTCCTCCTGGTCCAGAACTGAGCGGTTCTGTTGGGTCCAAAGCTGCTCACAGAGATCTTCCTCCTCTTCCTCTTCCTCCTTCCAAACATGCTGATTTAGAAAATCTGAAGGAAAAAGGAAAACATCAGACATTAACTTGTTGATCGTTTAATGCCGGGTCAGATTTCAGATGAATCTAAAACCCGGCAGGCTCTGCTGGTCCAGTTCTGGAGCTGGACTCTCTAGTCTAACGGGTCAGAACTGTTGAGTTCTGTCAGAATAACATCTGGATCCGGATCCAGATGTTATTCAGTCAAATGGTGCAGAAAAATAAAAACTTAAATACTCAGCCCCCAAATTTCTGTCTATAAAATACTAAACCAATAATCAGCTGGTGGAAGGATCCAGTTACTGGTTTTACTGGTTTCCACTGCTGACTTTAGGACTGGCAGTGAATCCATGTTGAGCATCTTGTGAAGTTATACTTTTACAGAGAAGGAAGTATTTCATGTTTTAACACATCAGCATCAAATTATCATCAGCAGAACTTTGTAACTACGGAGCAACAAGTTGGTTTATTTAGAAGAAAACCAGACAAACTGAGACTCACTTTGGTCTCTTGATTTTCTTCTGGTTCTCCTGTTCGTCTTTATTCTGGTAATACTGTGACTATTCTCGTAATTAATTATTTAAATAACTCAATTTAAGATTATTGAGCTATCAGAAAAAAATGATGTTTAGAAAATGTTTGTCTTGTTAAATCAACTTGATGAAATTAAATTGCTGAGTTTTATCCAAAACAATTTTCTAACTTTTCAGTTCAGATTCATATTTTCACTGTTTACACAGTGATGAATCACATGTTCAACTTTATTCTAAATGATTCAAACTGATGTGAATTAGTTTAAATCATGAGTTCTTCTCTTTCTGACAGCCTGTGATGCTGCAGCAGCCAGAAGGATCTTAGTGTTGAGGATAAACAGAACCAGTCAGCTGAGATCCAAAATCCATCAGAACCAAAGCAAAGCAGCTGAATCCAAAACTACAAACTGAGCTCCTTCGCCTCATTCTGAACTGTAAATTATTAAGGCTTTTGTTTCATCATGACTGCATTAATGCAGTAGTCTTAGTGCAGCCTCTTTAGAACAGAAACAGAAATCCTGTAGTAAAGAACATAAAGGGTTTTTATTCAGAGTATTACGGTGACTTGGATGGAAAGATGTCTGCTCAAAATTAAATTATATCATAATTATTTATTACTCTATAATGAGAAGGAAATAAAAGTCAAACACAAAAATTACGTTTTTCTCCATCTGACCCTCATATTTTTCAGTTGTCGCCAAGGAAAGACATAAACAATCAATAATCAGTTAATGTTTCACATCACAATAAACATTTAAATATCACACAGGATGAAGGAGAAAAGAATAACAATAATAAAGTCAGTTATTTTTCTTAAAGCTTTTATTTTATTTATCTTAGCATTTCTGTCAGCTGTAGGATCTGTTTGTTATTTGGCATCTAGAGATTCATTTAGATCTTTAACTGATGATCCTCAGGCTCTGAAACATCAAAAACACAAAATGTTCAGGCTCTATGTTGGTGATATTATTTAATCAGTTGTAAATTCAATATTTGTTCTGTTCATAAATGTGTTGATCACCTCGTGTGTTGCAGTGATTTGTACTTCTTTCTGTTGGACTCATTGTTTTGGTTCGGTGAAATGGGTCCTGAACAGAAACACCTGCCATCTTAAATTAATCTGGCCACCAGATAATCTGTAACACCGCCAGTAAATCCACATTAAACACGTCACGGGAGGAGAGCCTCAGCTCTACAGTCCGTTTATGAAGCATCAAAAACACACATGTACCTTTATAAGCAAGAGGAACTTATGCTTTCTATAGAGTTTATACCGCGGTAAAGCTAGCCGGCTCTGACTCCAGCCGGCCCAGCA